GAGTGTTGTCACTCATCTTTATAATAATCATTAATCATCCTGGATATACCACCTTCCTTTAATATACATGTAATCATTATACAGTGAGAGACAAGCACTCTAAAGTGGCTGTAAGGCACACACAGTCTGAAGAGAATCTCAAACTAAACGAGCAGAAATCACTTGAACTAGACGGACTTGTCAACAAGTGAGCATGCAACTCCTTGATAAACTTTCCTCTTATTTTTTAGTTATGAGAGAATTAATGAGAATAAAAGGTCGTCCGTAAACAAGCTAACTGAAGAAATGGAAATGGACAGTTCTATTGTACAGGATGAACAGTAAATCAAGCACGTCTAGTCTCACCTTTATCAATCATCCTTGCATGCATCTCTTGAATCTTACCTTCATTAGAAACAGTTGCGAGGACACTCTGACAGAATTGACTAGTAGATTCAGATCAGCCATCTCATTTTATGTAAAACATGACTTGAGTCTCATGTTTTGTTCATACGATGAAAATTCAGTGATTCCAATCAAAATTTGATTTTTTACAAATTTTTGTCAAAATTGAAAAGTAGATAATTCTCCATTTTTATCAGATGAATGTATATGTTCTTATATTGTGTAGAAAGTTTGAGCTGATTCAATCAAAATTGGATTTTTTTACAAATTTTAAAAATTACTCCAAAGCTGGGTCAAAGTCCCTGTGCTTTAGTGCATGGTCTCGGGCCAAAGTTTCCAAAAATTGAAAAGGAGAGAATTGTCATAGCATAATTTTGTCAGAATCAGATAATGGCATCAAAACAGGTTCAATATTCATGTAGGGTTGTACATCACTTAATGATCAGTTGGAGGACAATAATGAATTAAAGGAGAACTTGAAGCTAAAATGTACAAGATATTTTCACTGTGTTATTATTATTATTGTGCAATAATTACATTTAGTTGCTGAGAGACTGGTGAAATTAGCTGATCTTAAAGAAAAGCTAAGTAATGATGGTACTACAGTATCTGATGATTTGAATATCATTGATGAAGAATCTCAAGCATTAACACTGTAAGTTTATGTGAGTTTGTTTGTAGAATAGGCTCTATCTACTATTCTTGATTAATGTGCATGTACTTTTAAGACTGCATGATGTATAATAGATCAAATATGAAGCTGCAAAATGAAGCTCAAGAATGTTATTTACTTTTGTCATGTAGGGACATGTGGAGGAAGAACATCGAGTCAAATGAGAAAGTAAAAGAATGCAAAATGAAGAAAAGATTATTGTAAGTAGCTAATATCAAGAGTTCATATGATGGTAAATGTACACTCAATCACTCTCTCTCTCTTTTATAGGTTGGAAAC